GCATGCGGTGGTGATCTCCATGTAAAACATGCGTCGGTGATCTCCATGTCAAACATGCGGTGGTGATCTTCATGCCAAATATGCAGTGGTGATCTTCATAAAAAACTTGCAGTTGTGCCCAATAGCTGAGCATGTGAACATTTTGGAACGAGATGTACACATTAGCGCAGCGCCATGGCATTATCATAGAACGCATAGAGGCACATGATCTTCACCAGAAAGCATAATGGAACACGATCTCCACCCAAAGCATAGTGGATGTCACTCCACGTGAATACCTGGAGTCTAGAGATGCAATTTTCTGGGTCTCCGCAACTTCTTCAGCTGTAAACTGGCCGCAGTTATGCAGGAAAGAAGGAATATTAGATCGCTGACTTTGTGTCAGAGTCAGGGTCGGTGATCCACAATATCAACCACTGGTTTGTCTGGTCCAGATTCGACTATATACAGACTGCCGTGATCTAGCTGGAATAAATGTCATATGCTAATTACTCCTGAAGAGTAAACCACGTTGGTGTTGTTGTGTTGTTGTTGTTGCTTTTGTTGTTGTTGTAATTATTACGGAGTGTACTGAATGGTTTATCATTTATTAGCTCTTAAGATGTTGGTAAAATTATGATATTGCGTACTGTGTATAACAAGTTCTCGTCGCTATATTGCCTATATATTGCCGATGTGACGGTAAACTTTACTTCATTCAAACACTCCCGCTTGATATAAATGTGATATTGCTGACTATTTGAAACAATATTCACTCTCTCGCTTATCAGCTCGCCGTGAATTACCTATACCAAATCTTACTATAATTAGAGGTCTCGTTTGGACATCGATAAGGACAATGGAACTAATAAGGTAACTGTAAGACCATACATATTTACGCCGCGTGAGCATCATCCAAGCTATAAAGCGACAGACAATCACATGGAAAGGACAATATGCTATCGAATCTCAAAACTTTACACGAGAGAGGAAATCTTATTATGTCAACATAATAGGTTAAGTGAGAATATCTCGAATAGGTTCGAATCCCATACTCTCCCTGGTTGTCAACATCACGTGATGACATCCTCGTGCATTTCCCCAAAGATGCAAACGTCTAAGATCTGCATCACTACAGCTTCCCCCGACACGAGCTGACAATCCGTGATACAGCTGGAATACTGCATCCATCCGACTCCCTCCCTGATGATGCACAAAAGGGTGAATGAACAATTATGGACGTTCGTTCCCAATGTTCGGAAAGGTCAGTCGGACTGACGGGATATAATTATAGAATCCTGTATTTGACATTTTCGCCACATCTCACGAACTCTCACGTTCTGCATATTCAGCTGGTATTCAAAGGTCGAGATCGCGGGAATGTCCCTTACAGTATTCAATATTATGATTGAATGCGACTTAGCGCATGTATTGCTCACCCTGCAGTAATGACGTCAGTAATGACGTCAGTAATGACGTCAGTAATGACGTCGATCTGTCCTGCCACTGTTTCGGTTGCCGTGTTCCACTCTGTTTGTGTGACACCATGTATCTTTCAATTCTTTAGTTGCACCAGAGTCGTCGGTGCTAGGTGAGTCCCTTTATTTGTCCCAGGCACATCATTTTTTTTTAATCAGATTGGCTGTCAAGCTGATTCATTCCATTTTACAACGGCAAATACTACGCCCTGCATACGTTTGTCTGAGTAATGACCATCTTATGAACATTCAACTCTTGGGGATTCCGGGATGGAACATGTCCCCAGTTACCTTTTCTGATCTTAACGGCGGGAGCCACGGCGGCCCAGTCGTCTGAGGGTTTGTCAATTCGCTGTGTAGAGTTGCGTCCCTTGGGCACGCCAAAAGCCTAGGATTGTGGCATCCAGTCCCGGTTCGCTCCGATTATTATATGTTTCTAGGTTTGTCAGCACCGTACCAGTGTTCGTGGGTTTCCCCAAGAGATGTAAACGTCAGAGACCAGCATCACTATGGGCTTTCCTCTCCGATCAAGCTGACACGCCGTGATGTAACTGGAATACTGTTCAAATCGGCGTTAAAACCTTCTTACTCACTCATTCGTAGAGTGGATCGGGCGGTGACTTGGTGACTTGGTTTATCATCGTACCTGGACGGCGAAGCTGGGCATGAGTGAGTGAGTGAGTGAGTATGGTTTTACGCCGCTTTTAGCAATATTCCAGCAATATCACGGCAGGGGACACCAGAAATGAGCTTCACACAATGTACCGCTGGGCTTGACATCGTATCTGGACGGTGTTCGTTGTTCAGTACATCAATCACTTGATTTTCTGTTCCAGACGCAATTATTTACAAGGCGCCTTGAAAAAGCTGGAATGTTGCTAAACACAGGCGAAGTGCAAGGGAAGCCCACACCCTCTTTTGTGAGGACACCTTACCTGCCACCTGCACCTCGGCCAAGTCACTTCGCGAATTGGGTATAAGGTGCACTCTTTTCCAAAATCCAGGACCCGCTTCTGCTGAGTGCAGACAACAAGCATACGCTTAACGTTGTGTGACCTAACGAGAGAAGATTACCATTGACATGTGTTTTACTCCTTTCCCAACCCACGTTTGTCATATAAGATATTCACCCCTCGTTAGCCGCGGCTAAGTATTTAACAGCTAGGCGACCAAATGCTTGCTGTAAAAGGCGACTATGCTTGTCGTAAGAGGCGGCCAACGGGTGATCAGGCTCCCTGACTTGGTTGATGCGTGTCATCGTATCCTAATTGCGTGGATCGATGATCATGATGTCAATCACTGGATTGTCTGGTCTAGACTCGATTATTTACAGAGAGCCGCCATATAGCCGGCATATTGATGAGTGCGGCGTTAAACAACAAAACAAACAAAATTTTTAAAAATGTAACAGCTGCATCACTGGCCAGCACTAGATGAAGAAGCGACCCATACTACAAATAACCACCCGAGTTGGCCTGAATATGTCCCCAGCAACCCCTGCGAGGTGATCGAACGGAACTGGCAGGGTCACCTGATTGTTTGCGTGTCATTCTTGACCGGAAAGCGTCAATATTTATTATTCTTCTCACGACTGATTTGTGGCTAGCTTATAAACGGAACGCCCTGTCCCTGACAAGTGATATTCTCATGAGTCATTGACACAAATTTACAACCGTGAACACGATGCCACTTTTGTAGACGGTGGTCGTGTAGCAATGCACGCTATTCATGAGAAAATAAGGTAAGCCTTATCACAAGTAAGTTATCCCCCTGTATGAAAACAACATAGCGTCGACAGGTGACTGTCTCGTCGCTTGTCACTTGTCACCGAGGCTAAATTCCACAGATATACACATCATGAAATATAAAACGTCAACGCCAGTGAATATCCAGTCTCGACTTATTCGACGAAACAAATTCCATTCAACGTAAATAGCAACATAGCGGGAGAAATGAATGGATCAAAGAAAATTAGTGACGACTCCAGGTGTTCGCGAAAGGGATGTCCTGCTCTACCTGTAGCACCCGCCACACTTTTGCATAGAATGTATGTGTTGTTGCCGGGCACCGAACAGCAGGACTTCTGCCATATGACGGCGGCATGTAGAGAAATATTATCTTTCATCTTAGCGCGTTAGGCTGGAAATTTTATTGAGATGAGATAGTTTTTCAGCTTCAGCTACAAGACCAGATATATATTTTTTTATTTAAAACTATGAGCCTGAATTATTTTGAAAATAACACAATGTGCAACATTGTAACATAAAAGTAGGTATGTTCTCTGATCTGATTAGTTAAAAAGTGTTGTCGAATGAGCATAACATCGCTGAATTTTTGGGGTCTCATCACCGTGTATGTATACATGGATATGAAATCCGGTTTTCAGATTAGTTCAATTAATGTCAAGAATGGCAGGTGATCTGACGTCATGGTCCTTATGGAATATTTAGTTTTCAAAATGTAAGGAAATATGCTGTATGTGTAGTTAGTAGTAGTGCAATATTTTGACCATTATTTGACCTTTGTACTTTAAGCATGCTCCTTATTCACTCAAAATATATTACCTCATCCAGTTAACAGCATCTCCATTGAAACCACCTGACCAGAGTAGCAGAAACTTGGCATGGTTTTCTCACCAATGAGGTCAACTAACGATTTCAATGTGGCCGCCACAGCTGCCATGTTTCATCTAAGGACTTTAGTCTGCAATTTATGTACCAAATGCAATGACATTTTGTAATTATTCACTTATCTGTGGAACTCAACATACATGTTCAATTAATTTGAAATATTTTAAATTTTCACATTGTTATGACCATTCAAGAAGCTGAATTTCTTCTTCCCGAGGCAAGGGAGTTAACTCACTGTAAAAGCCCATTTTCAACCCTTGCCGAACTAGCCTGTAATTATGGAGTTTTGGCTGGACTAACGAGTCTATGCATAGTCAATCAAAAGTCTAAAACGAAATCGACATCCGGTTCGTAAACAACATGGATTTCAACCTGCAGATTTCAGTGTTTACCGTCAACTGGACGATGACACATATTTTCCAAATCTTTTCATGTTTTTACTCAAGGTGCTCACGTGATTTGATGCACTTCGCGACTCATTTTATTACTATATATATCTTGATTATCGATTAGATCGTCTTGACTGGGCGCCGCCATTTTGTTTAAAGCAAGTGCAAGTGGTATAAAGTTGGTATCTAAGTGGTCAATAGGAGGGCATAGAAGGGATATAACTCGTAATAGCAACTGGTGGCGCGACGATCGACCCCAGAAATTCCAGACTTGTTCGGCAAGGGTGGATACTGGACTTTTAGAGTCGGGTAATGCCCTTGCCTCGGGAAGATGGCTGAATTTTGACATCAATGTTTATATATAAATTCCAAATAAATATATTTTAGTGTTATAGTTTTTAGACATCAAATATTTATTTATTAAATATTTTTATATCAATGCTGACAGTAACTTTTCAGCATGTTTCTGCAGGCATCAAAGGGACGAGGTGTTCTCTGGTGATGAAAATGGAGGAAAATTTGTTGTTGTTTTTTAAAAAAACGTTTTATTTCCAGCAGAAGCAAAGGCACATAGAAAGGATATAAAATAATAAAAACGACAAAAGAAATATCTACTAAAAACAGTTCAGTGCACGGTTCATCAGTGTGGATGAATCACTATCCAATATGATCATCAGGTAAGACATTTGATATAAAAAATATATTTAATTGTGTATCCTTGTCCTTGTGACTATGATACTTTTAACAAAAACATGTATTGACAGTGTGGTACCCTTCGCGCTAGATAACAAGAAATGTCTCTTTGTAATAACTAAACTATGATTTAGTCATGTATATTGGGACGTAAACTCAGTAGAATTGTGATGTTATAAGATGTTATTTTCAAGGTGAACAATAAGGTAAAAGGTGAAAAAAAATCTAAATCTGCTTTCGCACATTTCCAGAAAGAACAAATATTCAGTTTGAATTCATGTTATGTTTGGAAAATCATTTTACATCAGCATTAAGTGACACATATTGGGAATAGTTGTTAGAAAAGTATCATACCTCTCGCGTACAAATAGTTCAACATTTCACCTGTAAATGCAGACTTTCAATATGACTACTATTTTTTCAAATCTTCACATAAAGGTCGGTTTGGCTGAAATTTCAAAATGTCAGTGTTTGTTTCACAATAATAATATTTGAAAATTTCTCTTGACGCGACTCGTTTTCTATTTTGTACGGAGAGACCTTATTTTGCCGTGAAAGTAACTGAATTTAGTGGCTTATTGTTTTGGTCTTTTAATCCAAATACATGTAATACATAATCTTTCATTTATACTTTGTATTTTGTCCTCTCAGACGGTTTACCATTTTGGTGAAGCCTACGAACATGGATATGGTGCAGGCAAACCAAGAAACATAATCAGAGAGAATCGGTATTTGAACCCACAATCATAGAGTCCTGGCACGTCCATGCAACGCAACTCTGCACAACGCATTGCGGCTCCTCAGACGCCTCGGCCACCCGCGCCCACAACTAGATGCATAGTTGTTTCTGAAGAGACTTTACAAAATGTGAACGCAATGGTGAGTCACCATTCCGAATTTCATACAAGGTATTTGAAGCAAAAATGTAATGAATGAATTCCCATAATATGGTGGTTGTGTCAAATTAAGCTGATATACATTTGAATATATGTTCGTAAATAATCGAGTCTGGACCAGACAATCCAGTGATTGACATCATGACCATCGATCCACGCAATTGGGATCCATGGCATGGATCAACCAAGTCAGAGAGCCAATCTCATTAAAATCAGATCTAAGTTCTCGCTGCCGCTAAACAAAGATCTGAAGACATCCCGTTACGGGTCTCGTCAGAACGACCTTTCGCGAACTTTGACCGACCACTGAACCGAATAACAAGAAGTCGATATCAGCCAATGAGAAAGCAGCTTTTTGAGCTTAACGACACTCGTTTCAACCTGGCGACTTCCATTTCAGACTACGCTTGAAAAAATAATGTTGACACAGTTCTCGATTAAAGTTTTGAAAACTGAACAAAAGAACAATCCGGAATGTCTAATGTGTGGTTGCGATTGTATGGCAGTGCTTCCCATGTACTGTGCAACGCCTCCCCCGTTCAAATGTTTATCCCACGGAAGCGAGAGATAGGCGACAATGTTGACGGAATCAGGCGTACGGGCCGTAACTGTCGTTCTCAATACCCCGTGTTAACATTTTTGAGGTTGCATGATCAGAAAACACATTCCGACTGTCACTTTCATGATCTTGTAAGCGACGCTTTGATTGGTCGGATGAAAGGTCGTCCTGACGTGACCCGTAATGGGATGTCCTCAGATCTTTGTTTACCGATAGCGAGAACTAAGATCTGATTTTAATGAGATTGGTGTGAATATAGAAGAAGTAATCTGTATTTACTAAACTATCGCTATTTTCTGAAAGTAAAACTGCTGTAGAATAAACAATGTGTAGTATTTCCATTTTCGAACGAGAAACAGTCATATCAATATGACATCATTTTTACGTCACAGAAAATAGACCTCTTTCTCTAAAGCAAATCGTTCCTCGTCTGTCTTCAAGTCTTTATACTTGGCAATCTCCCCATCTCTCTTGCATTTGACGAACCACGTGACAAGTTCGCTGCCAAGGGCATCCACCAATGCCTCATCCTGTTCCAATTCTTCCAGAGCTTCCGACAGGGAGTGGGGGAGGGTCTGGGCGTTCTCTGTCTTCCCCGGAGGTGGACACTCCAGTTTGTTGATGACCCCATCAAGTCCAGCGGCGATGGTAGACGCCACAACGAGGTAAGGGTTGCTCTTTCCGCTGGGCAGTCTGTTCTCGATGTATGTAGCCGAAGGACCGTCATTTTTTATTCGGAAGCATGATTCACGATTTTCTATATCCCAGTAAATAGCTGAAGGGAAAAATGGCTGATGAAGTCGCCTGTAGCAGTTGACAGTAGGGCTGGTAAAAGCGCACAGAGCTCTACTGTGCTTTATGATGCCAGCAATCCACTGCTTGGCAATAACAGATAGCTTATCAGGGGCGCTAGCATCATAGAAAAGGCTGTCTCCAGATTGGTTCCAGAGTGAAAAATTAAAATGGGCACCAATTCCTGTTGGTTTGTTGTCGAGTTCCGGTTTCGACATGAAGGTGATAATGACATCTCTCATATCCGACATCTCCATGAGACCCTGCTTCAAGTTTAAGACCATGTCCGGGCACTCTATGCCATATTTGGGTTTGGTCACGGCTTCGAACAGCCCAGATCCAAACTCGGGGTGGTACCGTTCTACATCGATGTTAGATCCTCTGAAGTTTTTGTCAAAGTGAAGTAAAGTGCTGCACTGCTTGTTTAGTAGCCTCTGGCTGTATGCGTCTTGGCCGTAAAAAACGGGTTCCATGGTCTCCCTATGCATCATTTTGAATTCAATTTCATATCCCGAATACAATTTGTATCCAAGATCGTCTAACCTCTTCAGTTGTCTCCGAGCAACGTATCGTGGACACGCTTCCTGGGGAACACCCCCTTTCTTCCATCGAGACTCGCACAACATTTCAGCGACCTTGACCCCACCGGCAACCCAAGGGACCGGCCGCAGCGTGTCAAGGTCGGGATAGCTCAACATGCTGCCAAAGTTGTGGTTCTTCGGATGATCAATGAAAACTTTTTCTGTTCTCGGACCAGCTAACAGGACCCCTGCAATGTAGATAGATGTGATAACGTGAACATAATTCATTAAAAACAAGGGCGATGTGGGGATTCTGGAGATTCACGCGATCACTTAAGCACCTACCCTTTACGACCAGCATAGGGGACCAGTCCTCAGCCGGAATCCTCGTGGGGCATGTTTGTATTTTCCTTTAGGGGCATCGTTACCTTGTGTTTTCGAAAATGACAAAACTAAAGGTGTTTCTGACCTGTGAATTACCTGGGAACGTGCCGAGCGAGGTACCGGTAGTTCAAGAGTCGGAAACACCTCTACCTTCATCTTCCCGAGGCAAGTGGAAACTGGCCTTTTAAAGTCAGTTAACTCTCTTGCCTCGGGAAGATGCTCTACCTTATGCTATAACTCACACTCTTTTGGCGTCGTTTGGGGAGATATTTAGTTAACCGATTTACAAAAATGTTGTACTCTAAACTACTGATCAAAAGAAAGTATACGACTTGGACTGCTCATAAAAAGAAAGTGCAAACATGTTATTTTCATTCGAAATGTATTTTGAATTTTAACCTTTTATGGTACTTGGAGTTAAAAACACTGCAAGGAAACACATCTGAGATCATAACTGTCATTTTCACAAATCACAGATGGTGACAGTCTGGCAACACGCTTCCGATTGATTCCACTGCACCTCGGTAATGGCGTCCATATCGTGTAGGACCTCCTCGGGCGTCCACACAGTACCTGGACACGGCGTCTCGTCGATGACGTGAGCTTCCTGACGACGTCATTGCGTATGCAGTTCCAATGAGAGTACTCTTTCAGCTATCATCTGAGAAAGGGAATGACAATATGTCCACGAATGATGACAAAACATGTCTTCTTTTAACGACAAACGACCCCATCACCAAGATGCCACCGCCTCCAATGGGGTGGATCCAGTCGATACACCCGAATCCGAGCATTGGGGTGCAACAGTACCCTTGACCAATCACGGTGTCCATTACGCCGACGGGTCAAGACTATTCCACGGTGGGGTCTGTAGGCCTAAATTCCTGCATCACGTTATCGTCATGACTCTGTGTGTCTGCTGATGCGGCGTCCCAGTGCCGTTAACGCCATTGATGTCACCGTCAGAAGGCGGTTGCACAGATGTCATGTGAGCATATGGAGGGCCTCCTGTCCAGTGGTCAAACGTGGTCTGCCCTGTCCTGTCACTTGAGTGCCCCGTGTGGTGATATTGCATTTTCATCTCGCGCTACCATTAAAAGCCGTGTTTTCTACAAAATTCACGAAGAATATTTTATTCTAAAAATACAGATGTTCTAACAGTTAGATGATGTTGGGTGTGTTTGGGACATTGGTTTCAACCTGAATTCAGTTTCTTTTAGCCAAGGTGTTCACAATCTAACAAGGCATACATTCTTTTGATCGGCAGGGTATTTGGTCCCCTCTTGATGTAATTTATGAGGTATTATATTTCAGGTGTTTGTATTTAAATCAGTACTTATTAATTAACAAATCCTACCTAAAAGCTAACTACGGTTTAAGCGAGTTTTTCTACGAGTGATGTTTTAGTGTATGCATAAATATTTGAAAGATATAGAGACACAGATTTTGCTTTCTGTAAAAGGCACTTTGTCTACAATTGAATAGTATTGAGAAAGAGCTTTGAACAAGAGCACCTCGGGAGATTAATTCAAGGGGGCGATATAGATATGTTATATTGTTTTGTGTATCATTGTCAAATATGTTTAGGGCAGTCAACAGAGACGTTGGGAATTCAAAACCAAACACAAAAATTCGATTCCCGCTATCTGTGAAAAGTATTTGCAGTCGCTTAAAGAGTAGCACGTGAGTCGCTGCTAAAGGGGCCAACTTGAGTGTAAACCCCCGACATGACAACCTTCACATCGGACATATTTCATTACTTTATATGCACCGATATCACTCGACATTCAACGTCATCACTTGATACAGTCCATCACAACCTCGACACTCATCATCATTACTTTCTGGGGGCGAGGGTGACCCAGTCGTCTAAGGTGCCGCGATTCGCTGTGCTGAGTTGCGTCCCTTGGGTACGCCAGAAACCTATGATTGTGGGTTCGAATCCCGGTTCGCCCCGATTATGTTTCTAGGTTTGTCAGCACCATACCCGTGCTCGTGGGTTTCACCGAACTGGTAAACGTCTGAGACCTGCATCACTTCGGTCTTTCCTCCACATAAAGCTGACATATAACTGGAATACTGTTAAAAGCGGCGTTAACTCACTCACTCATTACTTTCTATAGTCCAACACAACCTTGACATGCAACATCATTACTTTCTATAGTCCGACACAACCTCGTCATTCAACATCATTACTTTATATAGTCCGACACCACAACCTCGACATACAACATCATTACTTTCTATAGTCCGACACCACAACCTCGACATTCAACATCATCCCTTTCTATAGTCCGACACCACAACCTCGACATTCAACATCATCACTTTCTATAGTCCGACACCACAACCTCGACATTCAACATCATCACTTTCTATAAGCCGACACCACAACCTCGACATTCAACATCATCACTTTATAAAGTCCGACATCACAACCTCGACATTCAACATCACCACTTTCTATAGTCCGACATCACAACCTCGTCATTCAACATCATCACTTACTATAGTCCGACATCACAACCTCGACATTCAACATCACCACTTTCTATAGTCCGACATCACAACCTCGACATTCAACATCATCACTTTCTATAGTCCAACACCACAACCTCGACATTCAACATCATCACTTTCTATAGTCTGACACCACAACCTCGACATTCAACACCATCACTTTCTATAGTCCGACACCACAACCTCGACATTCAACATCATCACTTTATAAAGTCCGACATCACAACCTCCACATTCAACATCACCACTTTCTATAGTCCGACACCACAACCTTGACATTCAACATCATCGCTTTATATAGACCGACATCACAACCTCGACATTCAATATCATCACTTTTTATAGTCCGACATCACAACCTCGACATGCAACATCATCACTTTTTATAGTCCGATACCACAACCTCGACATGCAACACCACCACTTTCTATTGTCCGACATCACAACCTCGGCATGCAACATCATCACTTTCTATAGTCCGACACCACGACCTCGACATCCAACATCATTACGTTCTATAGTCCAAAATCACAACCTCGACATTCAACATCATCACTTTCTATAGTCCGACATCACAACCTCGACATGCAACATCATCACTTTTTATAGTCCGATACCACAACCTCGACATGCAACACCACCACTTTCTATTGTCCGACATCACAACCTCGGCATGCAACATCATCACTTTCTATAGTCCGACACCACGACCTCGACATCCAACATCATTACGTTCTATAGTCCAAAATCACAACCTCGACATTCAACATCATCACTTTCTATAGTCCGACATCACAACCTCGACATTCAACATCATCACTTTCTATAGTCCAACATCACAACCCCGACATTCAACATCATCACTTTCTATAGTCCAACGCAGCCTCGACATTCAACATCGACATCCAACATCATAACTTAAATACGGGGCGGTCGGGCAGCCAAGTGGTTAAAGCGTTCGCTTGTCACGCCGAAGACCCGGGTTCGATTCCCAACATGGGTACAATGTGTGAAGACCATTTCTAGTATCCCCCACCGTGATATTGCTGGAATATTGCTAAAAGCGGCGTAAAACCATACTCACTCACTCACTCACTTTATATACACCGACATCGTACATTACTAATGTATATAGTCCGACACCACAACCTCAACATGTACATCCAACATTAGGTGCGGTCGGGTAGCCTAGTGGTTAAAGCGTTCGCTCGTCACGCCGAAGACCTGGGTTCGATTCCCGACATGGGTACAATGTGTGAAGCCCATTTCTGGTATTGCTGGACTAGTGCTAAAAGCGGCGTAAAACTTTACTCACTCACTCACATCCAACATTATTACTTACTATAGTCCGACATCACAACCTCGACATTCAACATCATCACTTTCTATAGTCCGACATCACAACCCCGACATTCAACATCATCACTTAATATACACCAACATAACCTACACATCGTACATTGCTAATGTATATAGTCCGACATCACAACCTCGACATTCAACATCATCACTTTATATACACCAACATAACCTACACATCGTACATTTCTAATGTATATAGTCCGACATCACAACCTCGACATTATTACTTCATGTACTACAGACCCGTGAAGATCCGGGGTAGAATAGGTCTTCAGCAACCCATGCTTGCCGTAAAAGGCGACTATGCTTGTCGTAAAAGGCGACTAACGGGATCGGGTTGTCAGGCTCGCTGATTTGGTTGATGCATGTCATCGATCCCAATTGCGTGGATCGATGCTCATGATATCAATCACTGGATTGTCTGGTCCAGACTCGATTATTTACAGACCGCCGTCATATAGCTGGAATATTGCTGAGTGCGGCGTTAAACAACAAACCAACCAATCAAATCATGTACTACAATACAAAATCAATTAGTCAACTGATCAGTCATACCCAATTAACCTCTATCGACATCAACAACAACGTCGTCAGGCCTCCACAGCGCAACTCCCACAACTACAGGGAAGCCAGCAATTGTAAAGCAGTTATACGTCAACCTTACCTTCAAACAAATTTAGCCCGTCTTCCAGGTAACTCGCTGCATGATGTCCCGCTACCAGTTGGCCGCGATACGTGCCGTTTAGGTCGCACAGGGACAGTCGGACGTAATCGTATTTGGCTATCTCTTTTTTCACCTCTTCCAGCTTGGACATTGTCACTTTGAACACTCAACTAATTTACTATTGTGTTGTAGAATGCTTCTTACGAGTGACGGTTGTGCGGGCAAAAGTAACGGCACAAGATCAGTCCGACTTGCCAGTGGATGCTTCCCGTCTCCAAGTTTGCACTGTACGTACATGTATAGTCCCCCGACAAGAGACGCTGTGATCTAGATTCACTATTCAGCTGTACTCTGACGTGTTAAGTAGGTCAGTCTTATTTGTACGGGCTGAACAGGTTGTGCAATATGCAATGTCATGGTGTTGTGAAACAGGGGGAAAACACGTATAAAAAGATAATTTAGGACCGAAGTTCCTCTGTTTGAAACTAGCCGCTATACTTATTATTGCATACCAATCGTCGATCAATTCGATCTTTGTGATCTACATGTATAATCTTGTGAACGAGGACGGGTAGATAATACATAGAACAAATATTCCGCATATGAATCGCCATGTCGGAACATGGCAATAAGTGAGGGTTTACGAAATTGTGGACTCAAGCTGTACCCCGCTTCTGGTCGCTACGTTGCGAAACGTAGTTTTACGGGGGGTCGTCCCATTAGCCGGTTTCTCTCATATGCCGACAGATTATCCGCATGTTGTGATTAGCATGTGCTTCTTTGATGTACCGACAAAAGTCTGTATGAAATAACCCCGAATATTGACATGATATACATATATACAACAATACAAATCCATAATTCATTTCTTAATTCTTCAATTCATTAAGATCAATGCCCCGTTGAAGTGAGACGGCATCAAGTCACTCAACAGCACATTTCCCCCCATTCGTGACCAACTCGTGTTATTCCGGGAGAAGCCGAATCGCAGGTTACGGAAAGGGGCGAGTGGTGACGAATGTGAAGGTGAAGGTCGTTACGGGAACCAAGCTCCATTCCAGCGCGTGACACCTGTGTTACACTCTCAGTAACATAGTATAGAGAGCTCCGCGAACGGACTATCGCTGTGAGGAGCTTGCCAGCCTACATCAGAAGCGGCCCGAAGAGTCGGGTGTAAACTCCTCACAGTGATTGGTAGATGACATCAAAGAATAAACTCTTAACAGCGTTAGTACCGGAAGAAGATTCGACACAAAGTAACAAAGTGTTCGGGGCACAAACCTCTAAGAACATGAGACAGATACTGTTACAATGATAGAAAGAGGATGAACAGAAAGGCACTTAAGTGGGCGCACATTTAATTAGCACCGTGCCCTAACCGTAAGTTAATTCACACTATAGATCTAGTTCTCTTTTCAAGCCCCTTTGTAGTTCTCTGTTCAAGCCCCTTTCCCACGTTGTTCTGTTGTTGACGACCCGTGAAGATTCCGGGGTGGAATAGATCTTCAGCAACCCATACTTGCCGTAATAGGCGACTATGCTTGTCGTAAAGGGCGACTAACGAGATCGGGTGGTCAGTCTCGCTGACTTCGTGAATGCATGATCATCGATCCCAATTGCGTGGATCGATGCTCATGATATTAATCACTGGATTGTCTGGTCCAGACTCGATTATTCACAAACCGCCGTCATATAGCTTGGATATTGCAGAGTGCGGCGTCAAACAACAAACAAACAAACCAACCAACTGTTGTTGACATCACAGCTGAAATGATTCTATGATACTGCCATTCTTTCTCAATTATTGACAATAAAACGGTTTAATTTCCAACTTTATGTACAATACTCTTACAACAAAGACGGAAACCATTCGGACAACACTGTTATAAAATCATTTTGAGTATCAGCAGAAACACCATTAGAATCTAGACAATTTGTGAATGTATATACCGGGTAGTTGCCATAAGCTTGGAACATAATCATCATATTACACTTTGTATCCCCACTTCATATACGTTTGCGAGCCTTACTGCTCTTCGATCCCCTAAACAATATGTGACCACGAGTTAAATTACGTAATTAAGGTGGACGCTTCAAAGTCCACTGAAGAAATCAAATTGTTTGCCCCTTGTCACTGAAGTTATCTTAGACCGAATTAAGCGACACAAAAGATATTCGATAAGTAATGAAAATATACCCCAAAACTTACTTTTTAACTGATGCACATTTTAATTAATATTCATTTGAAGATAATTTTGCATCAGAACAATCTTATGCACTGACGATGTATCGGCTGCTGTTTGCAAATTTCCTGTCATTAATATCATGTGACTGACCATGCTCTTTTTAACTTGACTGTAATGGAGGGGCTAAAAAACGTGACGGTAACAAGAGGGCGCTTGCATGGTTGACTCGTCTCAATCAGCAAGGCATCACTATAAAATTAATATGACATGGTCATTTGACCATCCAAGTGTCAACAGAAATAAATGGTGGGATTGTTATTAGACACGTAATGAAATATCTCAGGGGCTCGAAAATCCATAACAAGAGGATATATGATGATTTAGACCGTCTTCAATTAGTACTTCTGTCAATGTAACTGGATAAAAAATTGTGAAAACACATAGTTTAGATCATGTTTTTTTATTATTGTTACCAAAAGGTATAAGTGAGAGTTGGCTAACATTAACATTGTTACAAACTCAAGAACACAATTGATTGTATATGAATCATTTCTTGTTATGACATTCTGTAGAGGAGAGTTACAGTAAACTATAAATATGGTATTAAATCATTTATAAAGCATATTATAATAACTTTCTTGAGAGAAAAAAATTTAAAGGCAAAATTTGTAACAAAAATACAACCTACTCGTATTCCAGAAACTATCGAGAGTTAATAAGCAAAATTGTCATCATGTGACCTGACATCATTGTGGAGGGTTGACTTGCAGACGACACTGTTTCTGTATAGAGTTTGGTAGATTACTAGTGTTCGCCATAGCATCACCTGACAATGCCATCAATGAAAACTTTGAATTTCTGATCAATGACCCTACACATACTCATCCATATCGATATGAGCCAGTGGTTTGTCAAAATATTCTTGACAGCAGCGAGGAAAGGGAGGAAGATCTACCACGTGAAGACAATCAGTTTGATGTTTACACGGAAAGACTAGGGAATACAATCTGGTGTTACACGCTATCCTGACATTTCAAAATTAAAAAAATATATGTTTATAAATAAAAAATAAATCACGCGAAAGTTATTCTTGTGTAAAATATACCAGGTGTAGACTGACACTCAGCATCGTCAAAACATTGTTGTGTTGTCTTTATGCCAAACAATTAGCACAGGGCTATCTAAGCTAACTTTGTTTTCTATACAAATGAATATTATGTGTTAAAATTGTATTGTCTGGTGACCGCGATTCGCTGTGCAGAGTTGCGTCCCTTGCGCATGCCAGAAACCTATGATTGTGGGTTCGAATCACAGTTCGCCCCGTAATGTTTCTAGGTTTGTCAGCACCATACCCGTGTTCGTGGGTTTCACCGAAGTGGTAAACGTCTGAAACCTGCATCACACTGGGCTTTCCTCCCACATCAAACTGACATGTCGCGATGTAACTGGAATACTGTTAAAAGCGGTGTTAAACCCAACTCACTCACTCACTAATACTGCCATGTAAACAGGTATCATAACATGTACTTCTTTGATCAATAGAGGGACACTAGTGGCAGACTTGTCCACATTTTCTACACGGGTACCCACCCCACTGTTACCCGACCCTACCCGGGTACCCACCCCACTGTTACCCGACCCTACCCGGGAACCCACCCCACTGTTACCCGACCCTACCCGGGTACCCACCCCACTGTTACCCGACCCTACCCGGGTTCCCACCCCACTGTTAACCGACCCTACCCGGGTACCCACCCCACTGTTACCCGACCCTACCCGGGTACCCACCCCACTGTTGCCCGACCCTACCCGGGAACCCACCCCACTGTTACCCGACCCTACCCGGGTACCCACCCCACTGTTACCCTACCCCTACCCGGGTACCCATGCTACTGTTACCCGACCCTTCCCAGGGACCCACCCCACTTTTACCCGACCCTACCCGGGTACCCACCCCACGAGTACCCGCTGTAGGTCTCAAGAGATAGGTACAAATGTCCGGTTTGGGATAGATTGACCGTAGCCCTGGCAAAATGTATTTAGATAGTCATAGAAAACAATCTGGTGATTTAAAGTTGACTGAAGTTTTATCTCTATTCAAACATATAAAGTCAGAAGGAATGGGTGTATAGTAAAAGAAATTCATACACTAGTCACTTATAGTGTAACCATGGAAGTTCTAGATAATTTTTTCCATTAAACAATATATCACGTGACTAATCACAGGTCTGGGTAGTCCTGTGGGTATCCAGGTCCTACTCAGGAAACACCGACCCGAGTACCTGAGCTACCCGTCCCAACCCTACTCCCTGTGTATCGATTCCCCCTGTAAAAATGGTCTGGGTGAACATATTAACTCTCACACATAGCAGCTCAGTTGACAAGAGCCCTGGTCGCCCAGCAACTCCAGCTCTCAGTATGGATCAGTGTGTAGTTTGGTGACTGGAGCAAGGTGTAAACTGATGGAGCAGGGAGAAGATGATTCATGATACATTTATACATGTATCGGTCATACGTACATTCGGCTAGTGTCAGCCATGTCTCGCATGCAGACAACCCACTGCTCTCACCGGTGTGATGTAAAGAAGTTCTCTAGGGAATATAGTTACTGTTCACATAAGGGAGACTGTTTGTCAAGATTACATGTGTGCATGAAAATGTGGTGAATGACGATGTGTGTTAGAGTGTATGAGATTGATTGTGTGGTGAAGTTTGACGTGGGAATGTCAATTGAATGTGGAGCAGATATGTATGGTACATGTACCAGTAAACCTCATGAACAGCATGTTGTTGACTTACAGCATTCTTTCAATATATTTCATTACTTCTTATTTGCTGTCACTGATGTTTGATATCATGTGTATGTCAAACTGGCTGCTGTAGGATATTTGGTTACAAAATCAGCCACTGTTTGGGGTAAGATTTACGACACACTTCTGCATTCCCCAACGACATAGCATAAATTATTTGTAAAACTGTAAATCTATCTCAGCCTTGCTCTTCACCATACATAGTTTCCTTCATATGCTTCAGGCATGGCAAGTCAGTGGACTATGTTTTATTCTAGATGATTAAAGTCAGATCTCTTATTCCAGTATTATACCTCTCTGTGTGAAGCTGTGAGGTCTCTCCCATAGGAGGCTGTGTCAGAGGAGCATCCTCACCAGCCAAGGCAGCATTAGAAACTAACATTTTAATTCACTAGACCTTGTAATGTAAAAATATAGCAAAATCCTTAAAAATGGCAAATTTCTACTACATGTAGTCCTTATGATATCTTAACTATTGGGCAATTTGGCAAGGACTACAGGACCCACTTGCACAAAGCAATCTTAGCGCTAAGACTATCTTAAGCCTATGTTAAAGAATGGGAGTTACGATCATCTTATCGCTAAGATCGCTTTGTGCAAGTGGGCCCAGGACTACAGGACTACAGGACTTGTGCCAATTTCTAACATTGCAAGGTGCAGTGAGGCTTCTAAATTCTTGAAACCAGTGACCGAAGCATCCAGACTAGCATGTTTGACTTCTGTATCTAGAAAACAAACTTTCCCAAATGCTCACCATGAAGGCTGCACCATTACACTGTTGATATTGTATACAGCGGGTCGTTTCTGAGCCCCAGTACATCTGCACCCAAAAAGGAATACCACAGAAGAAATATTTATGTCCCGCATGCCTTTTCTTTCGATAAAATTGAAATTTTTTAATTGATGTGGTAAGGAAATGAAGCAAAGTCATTCTAGAAAGCTGTCATCATTTTCTCTGAAATATTTGGTGATTCATCCTGTTTGCTTGTATCCTGCAAACAAAGTAATGTGATGCATATCAGTGTGTTGTTTTTGCCAACTGTTTTCTTGTGGCCTGATTTTCTTTACCAAAGTCTCATCATTACTTTTCTTTCAGATCTTCAAATAGCTGTTTGCTCCTATTGTTGGGATTTGAACTTTGAAGATGGACTACCACGTAAGTAACCTAATTTAGTGTATTTTGAGGCCATCCTCTATATCTCCAGGGCTTGCATTCAGTAAACCTAAGTTAACCCCTGGATTCATTCCCCTGGTTCTCATGATTTCAAATTACCTCTTAATGTGCATGTTTATTCACAGTTCACAATTTGGATGTTTGTGTGTTTGTTTGGATCATGATACTCATACACATGGTTTCTGACTGTGAACAGCAGTTACAGCACACAATGGTTGTTTAGCTATCAGGTGCTCACAAGACCACATTTGTTTAATAATGCTTATGCAATGCCATCATAGGATGACCATTATTTTCTCCTTTTGGAACTGCCTGTTAAACTTTGTGCAAACTTTACTGCTTACCAATGCTTCCAGATTACAATATTAAGGTTCTCCCTCTGTGATGTTTGTTTTGCTAAACACGAAACTACTTCATCCATCCATGGCCGGCAAACCTCAATATTTTTTAACACAAGTGACAATAATTGTCTCCCTTGGGGGTTGCTTTTTACGGGACGCTGTTATCATACAACTGAGGTCACACCTGTAACATTGTGACAACCTTTTCGTCCATTCTTGTCACATGTTAGAACCGTCACAGAATAGAAGGTCAACTCTTTAACATCTTGTGACAAAATGCTTATTTGTCAGAAAACAACAACATAAATTGGTCTTGCAAAGGTTGTATTATCATGATTATGGACATCAATCTGACAATAGAACTGATATGCATTTAATTATATAGATGTCAACTCAGAGTCACATACGTCCATTATGTCTGGCATATCGGGAACAAATAGGTTTTCCTGCAGTCTCTGAATTTCTGATGACACAGGAGCCAGGTGAAGGTAGTCCATCTTTTCCAAAGTGTGTGATACTCCAGAAGAACTACATGGACGTTGAGGTGCCGGGTGACAACCGTTTCCTGTGTAAGTAACATGGCCAGTCATGAAAAACATAGTCAGTGATAGAGGTATGATTATCATGATTATGGGGTGAACATGGTGGAGTAGTATCTCACCATATTTACTGATTACCATGATATAGCTCACGTTTGCTGACTGCGGGGTTGCTGACTCTTACATACTATAAACATGATGAAGGGATTAGTCCACATGGCTTTTAGCAGTCGTGAAGGTCTGGGTTAGAATTGGTCCTCAGCATCCTTTGCTTACTTAACTGTTTAGGAATGTTTTGATGTGGGATTTGGAAACAATATAAAGTATGTGTCAATTCAACCTTCACATTATCTTTTAACCTATCACACACCATCTTTTTGTGACCCATGAAGATCCGGGTAGAATAGGTCTTACGCAACCCATGCTTCCCATTCAAGGCGGCCATGCTTGTCGTAACAGGTGACTATGCTTGTCGTAAGAGGCGACTAACAAGATCGGGTGGTCAGGCTCGCTGACTTGGTTTGATGCATGTCATCGATACCAATTCCGTAGATCAATACTCATGATATCAATCACAGGATTGGGGGCGGTTGGGTAGCCTAGTGGTTAAAGCGTTCGCTCGTCACGCCGAAGACCCGGGTTCGATTCCCAACATTGGTACAATGTGTGAAGCCCATTTCTGGTGTCCCCCGCCGTGATATTGCTGGAATATTGCTAAAAGCGGCGTAAAACCAAACTCACTCACTCACTCAATCACAGGATTGTCTGGTCCAGACTCGATTATTTACAGATTGCCGTCATATAGCTAGAATATTGCTGAGTGCGGCGTTATACAACAAACAAAGCTTATATCTGTCGGTTTCAAAATTTTACAAGTATCCTAATCCGAATTTGTCTCATTAACTAAGTGTACTAGACAATTTTTGCTTGACTAGGGCTTAAGACCAGTGGTTAAAGTTGCAGTCTGTGATAGACTATATATTGCCTGGAGTTTTGTATTGCAGTATGTTGCAATACTTAGGTCTGTTTTGTGACGTTTTTGTGAGTTGGCTGCGATGTTGTGCAAACAGGAAGAACACTTTGGGACCTTGTTACTGGAGACAATAAGTGTATTGGCAAAAGATGTTGGACGGTTCTGGCACACATGTGTCTAAAGCTGCAGTTAGTGATATTGGAGGGTTGAAGTTCTCAGCCTCATGGAGAAGGATTTGTGTAATAGTGAAATCTTTAGTTATGGACATCACATAATCTCATTGAAGTATTTATGAAAAAAGCATGACTCAATTGAGCTAATTGCTTCCTTGTGACAAAACTGGGGTAAAATTCCTCCAACAGCATTTGCAAACTGGTATCAATGTGGAAGGGGATTATATTGAAAATGGACAACTTAAATGTCTTTAGGAGAAGCCTTTCTATATTAACTTATCAACAACTCCCTGTACCTCAGTAGGGGGACAGTCGTCTAAGGCGCTGCAATTCACTGTGCAGAGCAGCGTCCTTTGGGTATGCCAGAAAACTATGATTCTGGGTTCAAATCCCAGTTTGCCCCGTTTATGTTTCTTGACTTGTCGGCAACATACCCGTGTTCATGGGCTTAACCAATGTGGTAACTGTCAGAGGCCTGCATCACTTCGGGTTTTCCTCCCACTTTAAGTTGGCACGCCGTGATATAAGTATTACTGTTAAAAGCAGCATTAAACCCAACTCACTCACTCACACATCAGTCCTATGCGTATAATCTCTAGTCTTAAATATGTGTTTCAGTCTTAAAATGCTTAATGCTGTCTTTGTCAAATTGTGTGTCATGAGTGTTTGTGTGTACCTCAGATTGTGAGGACTGCAACAAGGAGTATGAAGGGGACTGTTCAGTACATGGACCTCTTCTCATGGTGGCAGACATACAGGTATACACTACTTCATTATGTTGATAATTGACACTCCACAGCAGATTTGATCATATTCCACTGCAGATAAAACACAAATCTGCAGATTGCATTAAGATTTGTCAACATTAAACAATCACTAGCAAGACTAACTGTATGATAATTTCTGCAAAAGGTCTCCTTTTCACATTTGTGTTTTCTCATAACCCCAATGACAGTGAACCAGCATAGGCAACCATTGTCAATAATTGTTTAAGTACTGCCATGAGTGGTTATTGGATAGTGGCATATTCAATTAGTTGACGTGGAACGACAACGTTGTCATTTTGGTTAATATTTCAGGAAACACCAGGAAGTGTGGACAGAGCATGGAAAACATTGCCTGTTGGTCTGGAGATTGAAGAGTCTGAAATCCCAGGCGCTGGTCTTGGAGTTTGGGCGTATCAGGATTTTGATCCACACACCTGCTTTGGGCCGTATGAGGGAGATGTCGTCAACGATGAGGACACTGCTCAGGGATCAGGATACAGCTGGCAAGTAGGTGCTATATTTGAAGGCTGCTGAATGACTTTGTGTGACTGGGGCGCACGGGTGGCCCAGTCATCTAAAGCATTGCGATTCACGGTGTCCCTTGGGCACGCCAGAAACCTATGATTGTGGGTTTGAATCCTGGTTCACCCCGATTATGTTTCTAGGTTTGTCAGCACCATACCCGTGCTCGTGGGTTTCTAAGAAATGGTAAACGTCGGGCTTTCCCCCCGACATTAAACCCAACTCACTTACGCAATTGTGTGACTGCCATTGCTAGAATGCTACACTTTGTTTTATAACAAATGATCCTCACTACATTGTGTCAGGTGGTTTAGTTTGCACAGTCCTACAGGCACCACAATTTGCTGTGCGGAGTTGCTTCCCTTAGGTGTGACAGAAACTTACGACCTTGGGTTTGAATCCAAGATTTGTCCAAATTTTGTTCGTAGGTTTGTCTGCACCACACCCGTGCTCATGGGTTTCACCAAAGTGGTAAACATCCACGACCTGCATCACTTGGGTCCTCCCTCTGAAGGGGCGGTCGGGTAGCCTACTGGTTTAAGCGTTCGCCTGTCACGCCTAAGACCCGGGTTCGATTCCCGACATAGGTACAATGTGTGAAGCCCATTTCTGGTGCCCCCAGCCGTGATATTGCTGGAATATTGCTAAAAGCGGCGTAAAACCATACTCACTGACTCACTCCTCCCTCTGAAATACTTGACAAAGTGGCTTTAAACCCATCTCACCTTTGATCTATGTGGATACTGGCTAATATATTAAAGTTCAAATTGAGGGGACATTATATTTTATTTAGGATGACACAGAGTATGTGCTGATATGTTCTGAGGTTATTCATATCATAATTATTGTCAGTCCAAGGTCATTCACTCTCTCAAAGATTTGCTAGAACTAGGATAATTCAGGAAGCATGTATAAAAGTTTACACGAGCAGATGTTATGAGCACCCAATCTGTAACATTTGTCACTCTCTCCAATGTTAAGCTGATCTTATTGGAATTTCCTATTTCTATTTTTCAGATCTACGCAGATGGACAACCTTCCCACTTTGTAGATGGCCAACACTGCAACAAAGCCAACTGGATGAGATATGTCAACTGTGCTCGAACAGAGGAAGAACAGAATCTGACAGCATTTCAATACAATGGTCATATCTACTACAAAGTATACAAGAAGATTTGTGTTGGTTCTGAGCTGCTTGTCTGGTATGGACACAAGTTTGCAAGGAACCTAGGTATCAAGAGACAACTTAAGCTACCACAGAGTCAAGGTACCCCACTCAATATATACTGAACAAACAAATTAGAGATAATAATATATATTCGTACAGATTTAAATAAACTAAAAAGATATTCCCAAATATATTCATGATCCCTAACTTTTTTGGTTCAGTATAGTACTCCAGCAATCTCAGCACTTACTTTAAGAATAATCTGTTACATGTGATGGCCTGTCCTGACTAGTTGCAGGCCACCGTGATATTGTTTGAAATTTTGGCATTACGCAATATTCAGTCAATACACTCACTCACTCACTCACTCACTCACTCACTCACTCACTCATTCTCTCTTTCTCTCTCACTCACTCTCTCTCTCTCTCTCAATCTCTCTCTCTTTCTCTCTCTCTCTCTCTCTCTCTCTCTCTCTCTCTCTCTCTCTCTCTCTCACTCACTCACTCACTGATAGGTGTCCAAGGTTTTGTTTACTAACATAAACTCAAGTTTTCCAATGACACGATGTTTTTCCCCATCTCAGAAAACATTATCAGATGATCACGTAACACCGGAAGTACCAGTCAACAAATCCGAACTGAAGACTTCAAGTATGCAATTTAATCCTATTATCATAATATCTTCTTATAAACAAATTGTTCATTGTTTTTCTGGACTAATGTTTGCAATATTTTTTATTAATTATATTCAAAATTTCATTCAATAATTATAATAATGTTTACAATAATTTCGGCGAAATCGAATGCGAAGTGATCGGTAAATCGCATAACTCACCATTATTTACAGCAACCACGGTCAGTTTACCGCTATTGACGCCTTGAAATAAACTATAGTTGCAAGAGAATGGATACACATACCATAAATGCCATACCATGACTCGCTAAAAGTCATATTTGAGGGAGTTTGACTATTAAATGCCAACATAACGTTTTCGCAATCAAAATGCATGTAGCACGGGAAGTCCCTTCGGTGACTGGTCAAAATGTTCCATATGTAAAAAAAATATCCTGCATGCCACCTGTACCAAAGTGCTATGCTTATGGTTCTTATAATTTTAAGTATATATATAGTGGAAGCTCCAACTAATATAACACAATATTGGAATATATTATTCCTGATAAAAAAAATAATTTCAGATACAATTTCTTCTGGCCATTGCATCAAAATTCTTTGAAGTTTGGTACATTTTTACTGAATCACCGGTAGATTGGGAGGAAACGTGTACATAGCTGATTGCATTTTCCGGCTTAGTTTACGAGAAAATAGACACGGTAATCTTAATCTCTGCATATAAAACAATGCCTTGGAGAGCCGGAAATACATTTTAAATGGTAAATCATCATGTCTAGTGATGTTTTATATCAAATTTCATACTTTTATTGACCAAGTTTGTTATACTTGTTTATTTACCTGAATTTCGCTGAAGGGATGCAATGTGTTTTTTTGAAAGTGCATATTAATACTAAATAAATCTTTTTTTACACTATGAATCATAAACAACTTCTATTCTAATCTTTTTTTTAAACTCTGAAACGTGCAACGTAGATCGTGTTAGGTAGGCAGAGCATGTATACTGTTTTGTTGGTCATCTACCACCTACGACTCGGCGTTTGTTAAACCGCTGATCATCTATAACGCTCATCAATTATGTGGACCCCAAAGGTAGCGTTGTAGTGAGGGATCACTGTAACTGAAATTAAGCTGACATGCTATGATATAACTGGAATACTGTTCAAAGCAGCGTTTGGGCAGTCAGGTAGCCTAGTGGTAAAAGCGTCTGCTCGTCACGCCAAAGACCTGGGTTCGATTCCCGACATGGGTACAATGTGTGAAGCCCATTTCTTGTGTCCCCTGCCATGATATTGCTGGAATATTGCTAAAAGCGGCATAAAATCAAACTCTCTCCCACACTCAAAGTGGCGTTAATCCAAACTCACCCACCAACTCACCCACTTGTACTGATGGTAACAGAAATACAAAATTCTCTTTATTTATTTTCTTTCCTGATATCATGGATAAATACCCAGCTAATTAAGCTCATTATCTTTCCTGCGCCAGTGGTGTACCAGTATATATTTTGTAAATTGTCTTTCCAGATACCTACCCATGTGACAGATGTGACCTGGGGTTCTCGTCTGTGTTGTTCCTGTGGAAACATCTGAAGAAGATGCATGGAGGAAAACTGACAGCTCAGTTGAGGTTCATAGTGAACACTCAGGGTGTTACTAGCTGTGACATTGGAAAGGAAATAGAAAACCAGATACAGAGCAGTAACCATGGTTACAATGAGAACGAAAATGTGGGCAGCACTGGATGTGAGGGAGCATTGAAGGATCCCATGAAACACAAAGAGGGTTCGGGGGGAGTCCGGCGATATCAGTGTGGCCAGTGTGGGAAGGAATTTAAACAATCAAGTCACCTTAAGATGCACATGAAATACCACAGTGGAGTCAGGCCTTTTCCATGTGGTGAGTGTGGGAAAGCGTTTACACAATCCAGTGACCTTCAAAGACACATTATACTTCACAGTGGAGCAAGACCTTATCCGTGTACGGAGTGTGAGAGAACATTCACACGATCATGCTACTTGCAAAAGCACTTGAGGTGTCACATAGGTGTCAAGCCTTATAAATGTAGCGAGTGTGGGAAGGCATTTTCAGAAACAAGTGACCTGAAGTCACACATGAAGAGTCACAGTAGCATTAAGCCTTACCTGTGTGGCGAATGTGGGAAGGCGTTTACAACATCAAGTGACCTGACGTCACACATGAGGTGTCACAGTGATGTCAAGCCACATCAGTGTAGTGAATGTGACAAGACATTTACGCGGCCAAGTAACCTTCAGGCACACATGATGTGTCACAGCGGAGACAAGCCTTTTGAATGTACTGAGTGTGGGAAAGCATTTCCACTGTCAAGCTACCTTCAGAAACACATGATGTGTCATTCTGGAGTCCGGCCCTATCAATGTACAGTGTGTGGTAAGTCCTTTAAACAATCAGGTAACCTGCAGACACACAAGCGGAGTCACACTGGTGTCAAGCCTTTTCCATGTAACAAGTGTGGCAAGGCTTTTTCAAAATCAAGCGACCTTCAAAGACACATTAGGTGTCACAGTGGAGTCAAGCCTTATCAGTGCAGTGAGTGTGAGAAGGCGTTTACAACATCTGGTGACCTGCAGAGACACATGAGGTGTCACAGTGGTGAAAAGCCTTATCAGTGTACTGTGTGCGAGAAGACCTTTGCAGATTCTGGTGGCTTGCAGAAACATTTGAGATGCCACACCGGAGTTCGGCCTCATCAGTGCACTGTGTGTGAGAAGGCGTTCACAACCTCAAGTCACCTGCATGTACACATGAGATCTCATAGTGGCGTTCGGCCATATAAGTGTAATCAATGTGGAAAAGCTTTTACTCAGTCGGGAAACCTGCAGACACACATGCGGTCTCACAGTTGATGTGGTTCAGTCAAGATTTATTATTGAGAAAATGTTAAAAGTCCATTGAACCATCCATTCAGGGCTCGAATTAGCTAAATAAAACATGCACTAGAGAAACCTATTATTGAAAAATGCAGCCTAGTATTTATGTCTACATGCTCCAAGTGCGTGTAAAATAAATTTAAATTTGCTTGTTCACATAATGTTTATCTTTGAACACTCAATACCTCAAAGTTTCATTTACCTTACTACATCACAAATCCCTGTGTTTCGTGTAATTTGTCATGCTCTCATGGGCTTGACATCATCAAACAGTGGGTTCTTAAAGATTGTGTGCACATGTTCCTATTGGGAGCTTCCTATTACATTTTACAGCAATACATGATTATTTCATGTGACACTGGCAGCGAAGTGGCCCATGTTTCAACACTTGACAATTTTATAGGACAGGGTGCAACCTGATTTTGTCTGGTGCAACTAGGTTTTCATGTTAACATCCAGCTGGAGCAAGATCAACCAAGTTCCTTAAATCAAGCCCTGCATTCTCCTGCAGCGAGACATGAGTGGAACCAGTGGTGACAGCAAAGTCTGTACACTGACTGTTGTACAGTAAGAGACTGAGAAGGTCCAGTTCATCCAATGTCTGATTTACTAGGACCGCCTCCGTGGTCTAGTGGTAGAGCGTCCGCCGTTAGAGCAGAAGGTCCGGGGTTCGATCCCTGGCCACGTCATACCAAAAGACGTTAAAAGAGGGTACTTGTTGTTACCCTGTCTGGCGTTCAGCATAAAGGGGCTAAAACAAGGACTGGTCGGCTCGGAGCCTTTATACTGTGTCTGAGTGGGGTATTCATGTTAAACTGCAGCATGGTATCTCAGTGAGCTAGCACTATAAATCTGCATCAGTCCGGACTAGTACAAGCAGCCACACACACACACACACACACACACACACACGTGCATACACGTCAATATATAAGTGCAATAATCTTGGATGCGACGTTAAACCCCATTTCATCTCACCTCACCTCTGATTTACTACTGTGCTGTGCACAGCGTATCCTGATGTAATCTTACCAATCACATTAAAATCACCTCTTATCTCCGAGATGGTACCTCTGCTTGAAGATCTAAGGACACATCCATAGGAGGTCTCATCAGTTGAACTTTCTCATCAACCAATTGGCATCAAGGCTTCTAAACTCTCGGGACGAGTCTCTGCAGCAATCAGACAAGCATGTCTGATGTCTGTATCTCGAAAATGAATTTAATTGAGAAAATCTGAATGCGAAAAAAATAATACCAGGCATTTGTATTGTTGTGGAGATTTTATACCTCCTGATATTGTGAGCGCCATGGCATGGCATTCACACCCAAAAGGGTTACTATGGGTGTTCAGTGGTAGTTTTCTTTGGCGGAGATGAAAAGTTTTGAATGAAGTAGGTAAAAAATTAAGCCGAACTGTTTAAGAAACCTGACGTCAAATTGCCTCAAAAACTCACGCATCCTTCTTTTGATTGGGCGGTCAAAGTGTTCTCACCTTGCACAAGCTTGTATGGAGGTGTCCCCAGATTTTGACCATATTCCAGAATTCACCTTTACATGAATATTCACACTGGATATATTTACTATGTAGTTGGGCAGTCTGAAATCATGTTAGCATTAGTATTGTTGTTGTGTGCATATGGTAAACATGTCAACAATGTGGATCCATCATGGGGCATTACTTAAATGTTTAGGAATGTTTTGATGTGGGATTTGGAAACAATAAAAAGTATGTGTCGATTCACATGTCACATTATCTTTTAACCTATCACACACCATTTATATGTTGTCTGCATTACAGGCTTGGCAAATACATGGAGTTCACAGGTAACACTCACCTGTGTGTCCCATCTCTCAGATGAGTTGGGTAAACACCACAGTGAGTTGTCATGGTGTGGCTGCTTCAAATGGGAGAAAAGATGAGTATAAGACATCAACGCCAGTGTACAACTTGTCTCGACCATCTGCCATGAGATTCATTAAAGGCAAAACGGGTGAAAACCACATCAATGGACCCCTGAAAATCACTGATGACACCAGTTTTGGTGAAAAGGGTAGGCATGTCCTGCTCCTACGGAAGCACCAAGTTATGTACGGCTCAAACATTAACCACATGAACCCATGGGCACTTGAAGTGATGGTTCAGATCAGATGAACTATGACAAATGAAGCTAAACTGCTACTGTGGGGACATGTTTGGAAAATCATCAGATTGATGAAGGCAAGACACCAATATTGGGATCAGCCATCATCCCCTGTTACCCTGTGTATTACATCTCCATTCTATGATATTATGTCGTATTATATCTCCATTATATGATATTATGTCGTATTATATCTCCATTATAATAATGTATCAAACAAACTGGACTCAAATGAGCTACCGTATTCCACGTAATAAGCGCCCCGCTCTAATAAGCGCCCACGGCGATATTTGCTAATATATTGGCTAGTGAACAATCCCAATTAGCACCCCTTCTGATTGATCAATGTACACAAGACGTATTTATTCGCGTATAATACGCACTCGTGTGTTATATGCACCCTTAATTATGGGCAATTAAATTCTGGAAAGATATATGTCGTATATAAACATTTCAGGCTGTCGGCATAAATCACGAAATTATCTTTCAACTGTTTTTATCACCAAAATAATATTCTAATAAGAGCCCCCTATTTCTAATTTTGAGAGCGCCCTCGTCGCTTATTACGTCGAATATGGTAGCTTCATTTGAGTCCAGTTTGTTTGACACAACACAAGAAGAACAGCCCTACTCTCAAATTACAGTTTTGGGGCTGAACCAAGCTGGGATATCACCTGTCCTCGACCTGCCTGATGGCAGTAGGACCTCCCTTCTTTCGCCATACTCAAGAAATATCCTTTTCAACTAGAAGTTAATTTATTAAAATATTCTGGATTGAGTAAATATCAAGGGCTAGCTTGGAAGAGGCAGCAATTTTAAAAAAAGCTCCAATGTGAACTCTGCTTCAGAAGGGGGATTTTGGTTGTTTATTTCAAGCTCGTGAGCCAGGAAAATACTATGCCAAGTTAGTGATAAGTGAGAGTAAGATAGTAAAGTGTGCCCAAAACAAGATGACTGGCCAATGGGTTCAGGACATTTATCATTGCATTCTGGAGGTATGAAACTATGTGTAACTGAGGATGTAGCATTGTTGGCGTTTTTGATTTACCATGGTTTGGGTTACAATGTACCATCTTAACTTGTCCAAGATATCTGGGCAAATAATATTTTTCAGTCTCCCAACAGTAACAAATAAACCCTCCTAGTGAATGTTCTTATCATCCAAACCATGTAAACGAAGAGTTATGAATTCCTCTTTGCCTCTGCATGATCTGACTTAGGACGGATGCTTACTGGATTACTGAGAGTCTGCCAGTTCAGGCCAAACTTTAATTTAAACCTTGGTTAAGAAATCCGTGGACTCCAAAAAACTGAAGCATTGAAAAAATTAAAGCAGTGTTTTTTTGTTTTCTGCTTCCTACAAAAAAATAAAATATGTTTAAATACAACCTCATTTACGATTGATATCAACATAAATAATTTATTCAAAATACTATACTTGTAAAAGCGCAATGTTTGTGTCGTGTATACAGTATGATAAACAATGCAAAGGTGAAATAATTAATATGTGTCAAAATAGCGAAAAGGAAAATAGCAGAATGCCGCGTATATTTTAAAACTTTGTCTATTTCAAAGTTTTGGTTTTTTTCATGAATGTTCCCAAATTACTCTGATTTGTGCACCCCAGATTCGCATCTATAATAAGGTGGGTGGAACCACTGTCTGGTCACATATCCTATAATCCTGGAATTACTGCTGTGGTGCCATTGTGTGGTATACGTACATAAAGAATGGGTAAATTATCGTTTGTTTTCCCTTTGCCCTTCACATGGTTCCGTTTTACTCCGCTGATTCCCGTTTTGACGCGGTGCCGTTTTTGCCGTACCCTAAACTGGTTCCACCGTTGGTACACGCCACAAACTAAGCGCTTTTACTAGACTGGTTCCCGTTCATTCCTGCGACAGCCTTCTGTTTTACTAGTTATCCCCCGCCGCGCGAAAGCGCGAAGCGGGGGATATAGTATTCACGACCGTCCGTACGTCCGTCCGTCCGTCCGTCCGTCCGTACGTCCCACCTGTTTGTTGCCGCGATATCTCAAGAACTAAACACTGGATTGTCTTCATATTTGGAACTATGGTGTATATACAGACTCCGCAGACACCAGTCGGTTTTGGTGACCTTGATCCCATTTTCAAGGTCACAGCAGACAAATCTGCTTTTAGAGTTGGAAAACGGTGTTGCCGCGATATCTCAAGAACTAAACACTGGATTGTCTTCATATTTGGAACTATGGTGTATATACAGACTCCGCAGACACCAGTCGGTTTTGGTGACCTTGATCCCATTTTCAAGGTCACAGCAGAAAAAACTGCTTTTAGAGTTGGAAAACGGTGTTGCTGCGATATCTCAAGAACTAAACACTGGATTGTCTTCATATTTGGAACTATGGTGTATATACAGACACCGCAGACACCAGTCGGTTTTGGTGACCTTGACCCCATTTTCAAGGTCACAGCAGGCAAATCTGCTTTTGGAGTTGGAAAACGGTGTTGCCGCGATATCTCAAGAACTAAACACTGGATTGTCTTCATATTTGGAACTATAGTGTATATACAGACTCCGCAGACACCAGTCGGTTTTGGTGACCTTGATCCCATTTTCAAGGTCACAGCAGAAAAAACTGCTTTTAGAGTTTGAAAACGGTGTTGCCGCGATATCTCAAGAACTAAACACTGGATTGTCTTCATATTTGGAACTATGGTGTATATACAGACACCGCAGACACCAGTCGGTTTTGGTGACCTTGACCCCATTTTCAAGGTCACAGCAGGCAAATCTGCTTTTGGAGTTGGAAAACGGTGTTGCCGCGATATCTCAAGAACTAAACACTGGATTGTCTTCATATTTGGAACTATGGTGTATATACAGACTCCGCAGACACCAGTCGGTTTTGGTGACCTTGATCCCATTTTCAAGGTCACAGCAGGCAAATCTGCTTTTGGAGTTTGAAAACGGTGTTGCCGCGATATCTCAAGAACTAAACCTCTCGATTGTCTTCATATTTGGAACTATGGTGTATATACAGACACCGCAGACACCAGTCGGTTTTGGTGACCTTGACCCCATTTTCAAGGTCACAGCAGGCAAATCTGCTTTTGGAGTTAGAAAACGGTGTTGCCGCGATATCTCAAGAACTAATCGCTGGATTGTCTTCATAATTGGAACTATAGTGTATATACAGACACCGCATACACCTGTCAGATTTGGTGACCTTGACCCCATTTTCAAGGTCACAGCAGGCAAATCTGTTTTTGGAGTTGGAAAACGGTGTTGCCACAATATCTCAAGAACTAATCGCTGGATTGTCTTCATATTTGGTACTATGGTGTATATGGCGGGGGATATTTCGTCACTCTGTGACAAATACTTGTTTAGGTAGAGAGGCGCCCAGTCAAACCTAATCGCAAACATCAGTGAAATATATTAAGTCGAACAGTCATTGTTAATGGAAAAATAAAGAATAAACGCCAGTATCTTCGTGTATATCTTCTTAACGAAACAGACTGTATAGTTGCATATGTCTAGGCAAAGACGTATATACGTCCGTGGTCTAGGATTGGATAGTGACTTGGAATGAATATTTTCTCATGG